TTCCAAATTTTTTGGCATAGATGAGTGAGTGCCTCCAGTGCTGCATCTGTTTGTTGAAGCATCTCAATTGGTATACCGTCAGTTCCTGGAGCCTTGTTTTTCACGAATGCCTTCAGTGAAATTTGGACTTCTTCCTTCAATACCATTGGTTCTTGATCATATGCTACCTCCTGAAATGGTTGAACGTTAACCAAATCTTTTTGGTATAGTGACTCTGTATTCCTTCCATCTTCTTTTGATACTGCCTGCATCATTCAATATCTTGCCCATAGAATCCTTCCAAATTGCAACTCAAGGCTTGAATTTTTTCTTCAATTTGGGAAATGCTGAGCACGTTCTTCTCTTTTGGTTTTCTAACTCCAGGTCTTTGCACATTTCATTATAATACTTTGTGTTCTCGAGCTGCCCTTGGAAATCTTCTGTTCAGCTCTTTTACTTCATCATTTCTTCCATTGACTTTAGCTGCTCTGTGTTTAAAAGTAAGTTTCACAGTCTCTTCTGACATCCATTTTGGTATTTTCTTTCCTGTCTTTTTGACGACCTTTTGCTTTCTTCATGTATGATGTCCTTGATGTCACACCACAACTTGTCTGATCTTTTTGATCATTAGTGTTCAATGCGTCAAATCTGTTCCTGAGATGGTCTCTAAATTCAAGTAGGATATACTCAAGGTCGTACTTTGGCTCTTGTGGACTTGTTTTAACTTTCTTCAGCTTCAACTTGAACTTGCATATGAGCAATTGATGGTCTGTTCCACAGTCGGCCCCTGGCCTTGTTCTAATGATATTGAGGTTCTCCAATTTTTATTTATCTTTATATTGGAGCCCTGGTTGTGCAGTGGTTAAGAGCTCAGCTGCTAACCAAAAGGTCAGCAATTCAAATCCACCAGCTGCTCCCTAGTAACTCTGGGGCGGTTCTACTCTGTTTTATAGGGTCACTATGAGTCACAATTGACTTGACAGCAATGGGTTTGGCCTGGTTATATATATGTCACAATAGAATTTTAAAAGAAAGCAGACAAGCATCAACAACAAATTTACAATATCAAGTGTTGGAATGGATATAGAACAACTTTCATACATTGCTGTTGGTAGTATGAAATTGTACAACCACCTCTTTAAAGCTTTGGCAGTTTGTAATAAAGTTAAGCATACAACTACTCTGTGACCCAGCAATCTCACTTCTAGGTATTTGTCCAAAAGAAGTTGCTATTTCCTTTTAGACTTAATTCATAATAAACTCCAAATGAAAATAACCCAAATGCACATCAATAGGAAGATGAATAAACAAATTATAATATATTCATACTCCTCAGCAATAAAAAGGAGCAAACTATGAGTACATACAACAACATAGATGAACCTCAGAAACATTATACCAAGTGAAGCAGCCAAGCACAAAAGAGCACAATACTGTAGGATTCCTTTTGTTTGAAGTTCAGGTATAGGCAAAAACAATCTTTGGGACTAGAAGTCAGAAAAATTGTTATCTCAGAGTGTGCCACTGGTCTACTGACATGAAAGGGCCATGAGGAAATTGTGAGTTTATGGAAATATTTTATATCTTGATCTGGGTGGCAATTACATAGTTTTTACATATACGGATGTCATCAAGCTATACACATAGATTTGTACATGTACTGTATGTAATTATACATCAATAGAAATATACATAACAAGAAATATTTTAAGAGATATTTCTTGTGTTTCTTGAAAGATGACTGAGAAATAAAGAAGTTAATCAAGTGGGAAAGTCTCAGAACTAGATTTATACCACTTTAATTCAATGGGAACAAGTTGAACTCCTTCCATCCATATGCTGAATATATACTCCCAACTCTCTTAAAAACTATACTTTTTCCTCCTAACTTTTTAAAAATTTTTCATAACAAGTTAGGGAGGGATTTTTTTCTTTATTTCTGATTAATGAGAGGTTCACTATCTCAATTTAGGTACTCCTCATGTCATCATATAATACCCTAGTACTAGACTGTTTTGAAATTGGGAAGTCTGAGTCCTATTTTTCTTCTTCTTTTTCAAGATTGTTTTGGTTATTGAAGGCTCTTTGCAATTTTATGTAAATTTAAGGATTGGCTTTTCCATTTCTGCAAAAAAACGTTATTGGTATTTTGATAAGGATTATGTTAAATCTATAGATCGCTTTGGGTAGTATTGACATATTAACAATATTAAGTCTTCTAAACCATGAACGTTTAATGTCTTTACATTTATTTAGGTCTTCTTTAATTTCTTTCAGCAATGTATTATAGTTTTCAGTGTACAAATCTTTCATGTCCCTGGTTAAAAATATTCCTAGATATTTTATTATTTTAGATGCTATTGCAAATGACATTGTTTTCTTAATTTCCTTTTCAGATTGCTCATTGCTGATGTATAGAAACCCATCTGATTTTTGTGTGTTGATCTTGTACCCTGCAGACACCACACATGCACCTGTTGCTGTCAAGTCAATTCTGACTCATAGAGACCCTATAGGACAGAGTAGAACTGCCCCATAGGGTTTCCAAGGAATGGCTGGTGGATTTGAACTGCCAGCCTTTTGGTTAGCAGACAGGCTCTTAACTACTTTGCCACCAGGGCTCCTGTACCCTACAAGTCTGCTGAATTAATTTATTAGCTTTAGTAGCTTTCTGGTTGACTTTTTGGAGATTTTCTTTATTTATGATCCTGTCATCTGTGAATAAGGTTAGTTTTACTTCTTCCTTCCTGATTCAGATACCTTTTATATCTTTTACTTGCCTCATTGCTTTGGCTAGAACTTCCAGTACAATACTGAAGAGCATTGGTGAGGGCAGCCATCTTTGCCTTGTTCCTGATCTTAAGGGGATAGCTCTTAGGTTTTCTCCATTGAGTATGATGTTAGCTGTGGGTTTTTCATAAATGTCCTTTATCATGTTGAGGATTTTTCCTTCTATTTTTGGTTTTCTGAGTGTTTTTATCATGAAAGAGTGTCAGAGTTTTTTAAATGCCTTTTCTGTATCAACTGAGATGATCATATGATTATTTTCCTTTGTTCTGTTAATGTGATTTATTACATTGATTGATCTTACATTGAACCACCTTGCATCCCTGGGATAAGTCCCACCTGGTCATAATGTATAATCCTTTTAATATGCTGTTGGATTTGGTTTGCTAGTATTTTAAAGATTTTTGCATCCGTATTTATGAGGTATATTGGTTTGTAGTTTTCTTGTGGTGTCTTTGTCTAACTTTGATATCGAGGTAATTGCTGGCCTTATAGAATGAGTTATGAAGTGTTTCTTTCTCTTCTATCTTTTGGAAGAATTGATATCAATTCTTGTTTAAGTGTTTAGTGTAAGTTACCAGTGAAGCCATCAGGTCCAGGACTTCTTTTGTTGTTGTTGTTGAAAGGCTTTTGATTACTGATTAAATCTCTTCATGTGCTAGGAGTCTGTTGAGATTTTTTATTTCTCCTTGGGTCAATTTTGGTAGTTTATGTGTTTCTAGGAATTTGTCCATTTCATCTAAGTTATCTAATTTGATGGTATACAGTTGTTCACAGTTTTCTCTTATGATCTTTTTTATTTCTGAAAAGGATCAGAAATAAGCAAAGTGATGTCCCTACTTTCATTTCTGGATTTAGTTATTTGCATCCTCTCTCTTTTTCTTTGTCAGTCTTGCTAAAGGTTTGTAGATTTTATTGATCTTTTCAAAGAAATGACTTAGGTTTAGTTGATCTCTGTGTTGTTTTTCTATAAACCAAACCAAACCTGTTGCCACTGAGTCGATTCCGACTCATAGTGACCCTATAGGACAGAGTAGAACTGCCCCATAAGGTTTCCAAGGAGTGCTCGGTGGATTTGAACTGCCGATCTTTAGGTTAGCAGCCGAATTCTTTATCACTATGCCACCAGGGTACTCTATTTTATTTATTTCTGCTCTCAACTTTTCTGTTTCTTTCCTTCTGGTAGCTTTGGGCTAGTTTGCTCTTCTTTTTCTAGTTCCTCAAGTTATAAAATTAAGTTACTGATTTGAAATCATTCTTATTAATGTAGGCACTACTGATATTAATTTCCCTCTGAACACTGCCTTTACTGCATCCAGTAAGTTTTGGTATGTTGTGATTTCATTTTCATTCAACTCTAAGTATTTTCTGATTTCTTCCTTGACTATTGTTTATTTAATAGCATATTGTTTTATTTCCAGATATTCGTGTATTTTCTGGTTTTCCTTCTATTATTAATTTCTAGTTCCATCCCATTGTGATCAGAGAATATACTTTGTTTGATTTCAGTCATTTTAAAATTGTTGAGACTTGCTTTGTTACTTACAGTATGGTCTATCCAGGAGAATGATCCATATGCACTGGAAAAGAATGTGTATTGTTTTATGTTGGGTGCAGTGTTCTGTATGTGTCTGTTAGATTAGTTGGTTTATAGAGTTGTTCAAATCCTCTGTTTTCTTATTAGTCTTCTTTCTAGATGTTCTATCTATTATTAAAAGTAGTGTATTGAAGTCTCCAACTATTATTGTAGAATTGTCTATTCTCTTGTACTCTTAGTTTTTACGTCATATATTTTGGGGTCCTAATATAGGTGAATATATATTTATAATTGTTATATCTTCCTGGTGAATTGACAGTTTTATCATTATATAATGCTCCCCTTTGTCTCTGGAAAAGGCTTTTTGAAATTTATTCTGTGGAATATTCCTTGCCAGTTTAAGATTTTGAATATTGTTTTTCTACTGTCAATTTAGAAAGGAAAAGGTACTTCTTGACTAAGTACCCGGGCTTTATATAAATTTCAGCCTATTGTTATAGCTACCATGACTGACGGTGATTGAGTTAATATTTAACATGGTTGCCACTGAGTTCTATAAATTCCAAGATTATTTGAATGCAAAGGTATAATAATGGAGAATCTTAGAGAAATACCTAATTGAAATATAAATTATTTTAATTTTCATCGGTATTTCATTTTAACCATTAACATTATAATTTACACTCTTGCATTTCAGGGAAAGGTGGCCCAGACAGCATGTATGTCAGCTTGTAAGCATTTGGCCACATCCTTGATGCATCTTTTGCTCGAAGCTGAAGTCAGACAGCTCACCTTGGGAGCATTACAGCAGTTCAACTTGGATGTCAGAGAATGTGAACGTAAGACAGTGAACCATCACTTTGCTTATTTGTCTTATCTCCATACTCACTTCCAAAATATATTTTAGGTCTGTGGGGCTCTTGTTCCTGATGGAGTCAAAGAATAGTTAGAGATAATTTAAGGGATATATGGAAATGGGGTCTATCTGCAAGCTAATTTGAGTACTCAAAAGTGCCTAGGCCTATACATAAAACAGAGAAGACTCCTGTCCACAAGGAACCTTGCAATCTAGAGAGAGATATAAGGCAGATGTGCATTTAATAGACACCAAATAAAACGTGATTGAGCCAATTACTTCAAAAGATTGCCGCTCCCAATAGTTTCTTTTATATTTTATATTTTAAAACTACGTTTATATCTTATCTGCAGGCTCTTCTTAGTTGGAAGAACCAATGGTGTGTGCATTTATCGGTCAGAAATGCTTTCTATTATAGGAAACAGAAAACATTAAACAGAGTGGTTTAAACAAATATGTTTTATCTTTCTCAGAGGCAATCACTTGCTGTATTGACTTAGCTGCTCAATGACATCATCATGGACCTAGGCACTTTTGATCCTTTTCCTCTGCCATCCTTAGGGTATGGACTTTTCATCCTCATATATTTTATATTCAGAAGAGACCCCACATTCAAGACAGTAAAAGATGATCAAACTTAACCTGTTCCTTTTATTAAGAGAATAAAAACCATTTCAGGAGACCCATAGCAAACTTCCCTTTATGCTTCATTGGCCAGAACACTGTCACATGGTCACCTAGCTCTAAGGGAAACTATGAAATTTGTATCCGGCAAAGTAAAAGAGGAGCATCATTTTTGGCATAGTTGATATTCATCATGAATATCCACTTGGGGTTGAACACAAAATTATAGTTTCATTAGGAAGGAAGGAGGAAGGAAAGAAGAGTGTGTATGGTTCACTGTGCTGTCCGTGAGAAATGAAGAAGAACGAAAATTTATAAGACTCCTGGAAATTTTTTTCTAATTCTAAGAAAATTAAAATAGTGTAAAATTATAGAAATACCATATGATCAAGCAATCCCAGCGCTAGGAATATATCCTAAAGAGATAACAGCTGTCACACAAATAGACATATGCACACCCATGTTCATTGCAGCGTTATTCAGCAAAAAGATGGAAACAACCTATGTGCCCATCAACAGATGAATGAATAAACAAATTATGGTGCATATACACAATGGAATACTAGACAATGATGAAGAATAATGAGGAATCCACAAAACATCTCACAACATAGATGAATCTGGAGGGCATGATGCTGAGTGAAATAAGTCAATCACAAAAGAACAAATACTGTATGACAACACTATTATAAAAACTGAAAAAAAGGTTTACACACTGAAAGAAATGATCTTTGATGGTTACAAGGGAGGGGAGGGGTGGAGGGGGAAATTATTAACTAGATGGTAAGTAAGTGTAACTTTGGTGAAGGGAAAGACAGTATACAATATAGGGGAAGTCAGCACAACTTGACCAAGACAAAGTCATAGAAGCTTCCTAAACACATCCAAACACCTTGAGGGACCGAGTTACTGGGGCTGAAGCCTGGGGACCATGGTCTTGGGGGACGTCTCGCTCATTTGGCATAACATAGTTCATAAAGAAAATGTTTTACATCTGACTTTGGTGAGTAATGTCTGAGGTCTTAAAAGCTTGCAGGTGGTCATCTAATATACATCTACTGGTCCCATCCTGTCCAGAGCAAAGGAGGATGAAGAAAACCAAAAACACAAGGGAAATATTAGTCCAAAGGACTAATGGACCACAATAGCACAGCCTTTACCAGCCTGAGCCCAGAACAACTAGATAGTACCCAGCTATCACCGCTGACCACTCTGACACCCTTGTAATTCACAACTGAAGTCATTCTGGAAATTCACCCTTCAGCTAAAGATTAGACAGGTCTGTAAAACAAACAGTAACACACATGAGGAATGTGCTTCTTAGATCAATTAAGTATACGAGACCAAATAGTCAACACTTGCCCAAAAGCAAAGACAAAAAGGAAGGAAGGGACAGGAAAACTGGATGAATGGAAATGGGGAACCTGGGGTGGAGAAGGGAAGAGTGTTCACACATCGCGAGGATTGCAGCCAATGTCACAAAACAATTTGTATATAAATTGTTGAATGAGAAACTAATTTGCTCTGTATACTTTCATCCAAAGCACAATTAAAAAAAAAAAAAGAAGACAAATGCAAAAGAAAAAAAAAAGTGTAAAATTACATGGGTCTGCTAACATGCCAGCTCCAGCTTTTTATTTTTACTGCTTATTGATTTCTCTTGGTTGATTTTTTTTTAATTATGGAAAAAATAATATATAATTTGCAATTTTATCCCAATAATATTTCTTACTTGAAAATCTACTTTGATATTAATATAGGTAATATGCCATAGAAGCCCTGGTGGCACAGTGGTTTAGAGCTACAGCTGCTAACCAAAAGATCAGCAGTTCAAATCCACTAGCTGCTCCCTGGAAACCCTGTGGGGCAGTTCTGCTCTGTCCTATAGGGTAGCTGTGAGCTGGAATTGACTTGACAGCAGTGGATTGGAATATGCCATAAAGCCATAAACTGAAATAATAAAAACTACTCAGTGAATATAAAACAAATGCAAGAGAAAAAAACGGGACAAAGTGTAGATGTTAAAGTAGAAAACAAAGAGTAACATGGTAGATTTAAACCCAACCATATTGAAAATTATATTCAGTATAAGTGGTCTAAACAGCCCAATAAAACATCAGATTGTCAGACTGAATAAAAAAGAAACAACTTACTATATACTGTGTACAAGAAAATTATAAAATAGGTTAAAAGAAAAGGATGGAAAAAGATATACCATGCAAACACTAATCATAAGACAGCTGAATGGAGCTATCCTCTTTATTTTGTATTTTAGTTATTGTTATTGAGTTTACAATATACATATTTTACTTAACACAGTATACCTTAAAATAATATTATACCTTTTTATGTTAGTGTGAGAATTTTACAACAGCATACTTTTCTTTTTGTATCACATATCCTTTGTGATATTGCCAAACATTACTTCTTCATGTTCTATAAATTCTGCAGTATATTGGTATGATTTTTGCTTAAAAGTCAGTTATCTTTTAAATAGTTCTTAAAGTGATTAAAATACATTTTATATTTATCCACATATTTACCATATCTAGCATTTTTCATTCCTTTGTGTGGACTCAAATTTCCATCTGAAATATTTTTTATTCTGCTCAAGGAGCTTCCTTTAACTTTTATTATAGTGCAGTTCTGCTGGTAGTAATTCTCTAAACTAAATAAAGTCTTTATTTTGTCTTCATTTTAGAAAAATATTTTCACTAAATAAAGAATTCTAAGAATTCTAATTCTTTCCTTTCAGTACTTTAAATATTTCTATACACTTTCTCTTGTCTCTTCAACTGTTGTTAAGATTTTCATCACTGGATTTTAGCCATTTATCATGATGTGCCTTTATGTGGTTTTCTTTAGCTTTAGCTAGTTATATGAGCTTAGATGTCCAAGTTTATAATTCTCATTAAATTTGAAAAATTGTGGCATTATTTCTACGAATTTTTTTCTCTCCCCTCCTTCTGAAATTCCAGTTACATATTTTTTAGACCACTTCATATTGTCCCATAGGTTATTGATGCTCTGTTTATTTTTTCAATCTTTATTTTTTTCTCTATATGTTTCATTTCTAATAGTTTCTATTGCTGTCTTCAAGTTCTTTGAACTTTTCTTTTGCACTATCTAATCTGCTATTAATTCATTCCAGTGTATTTTTTATTTCAGATGTTGCCTTTTTACATCTATATGAATTCTTTTTTGCTTTTTTTTGTATCTTTCATTTCTCTCCTGATTGTGCTCATGTTTTCATTTATCATCTTCACCATATGGAGCATTTTTGTAATAGCTATTTTAATGCACCTTTTTTGCTAGTCCCATCATCTGTGTATTTTCCAGGTCTGTTTCTGTTATTGATTTTTTTTTTTTCTTTCTGATTATAGGTCATGTTTTCCTGCTTCTTTGTACTCCTGACAGTTTTTTATGGGATGCCTGGCATTGTAAATTTTATGTTGCAGGGTGCTGCACTTTAGTGCATTCCTTTAAATAGTATTAGAGTTTTTCTGACATGCATTTAAGTTACTTGGAATTGGTTGGGTCCTTTGAGACTTGCTCTTAAGCTTATGGTGGACCCAGAGTCTTTAGTCTAGGGCTAATTCCACCCCCAATCCTAAAGCAGTGCCCTTTGGAGAGTTCTTTCCAATGTCCTGGGTATTAGGATATCTTTCTACTCTGGCTGGTGAGAGTATATGAGCACCATAGCTATTCTGACTATTCTTTTCTGGTGATTCTTTCCCTGGCCCCCAGATTAGTACTCACTAAGCCAAATATTCAACAGAACCCTTCTGTAGTTTTTCCTGAGTGGTCTCTCTTGTTGCTTCCTCCTCTCTGGCACTCTGCCTTGCAAATACTCAGCCCTCCAAATAGATTGCCTTGGACTCCTAAACTCTAATCTCTGCCTTTTCAAGTCAGTGAGACCACCATGTTCTGTTTGGGTCCCTTTCTTCCCCACTTGGAAACTGCCTCTAGGCAGGCTCACCTGGTTTGTTTTCCTTCTCTCATGGATCACAGTCCTGAATTGCCTGCTGTCCAATATCTAAAGCCATTCTTTTAGATACTTTGTTCATTTTCCAGGTTTGTTTTTTTTTTCCCTCTTACAGTGCTCTTACTGTTACTCCATCTTGGCCAGTAACAGAATCAGGTGAATGGCTTTCTAAGGTCTTTTTTATTTTTGCTTTGTAGAAGTAATATATGCTCATTGTGAAAAGTTTAGGGGAGAACAAGAAAAGGAAAAAAAGAAAATAAAAATTATGTATACTCTTGCCTTTCAGAAATAAGCATAGTCCAGGGATTACATCTGACATACTAATATCCAGAAGCAGAACTGTTTCTAGAATTCATACACCAGATTCTTTGTAT